AATTTAATGTGAATAAGAGAATAAGGATATTTTAATTTTTACATCCGCTTGCGAAATGTCTTTATTATTAGCAATTTAACTGAGTTTGAGTAAAATTGCAATTTTAAACTTATTTTGAAGTTCAACTCAAAAAATCTTCTGAATTAGCTGTATTTAAACAAAATTTTAGGTTTCATTTAACCTGTTTGTAGTCGTCTTAATAATACATATGACAGACTTTATACATATAAATAAGTTATGACGATATTTCACAATTTTCATTTTACAATTTACATCACACAGTAGCAACAGCAACAGTTGCAAGTGGGCCAATCAATTCAATGACTCTTAAAGACGAAAAAACACATGCACAATAGCCTCGTCAAATGTTGACTGCAAAATTGAATTAATTTTACCATGAAATCATTTTCATAAAAATTATCTCTCTTCTATGGACACACAAGAAGAAGATATCTAGCCATAAGTCATGTTGGTTTGGTGGTCATGGTTCAATGTTTGTATTATATTTGAGTTTACAACCTCACAATTGATTTCGTATTATAACGAAACGTTCAGAGAGGAAAGAGGCAGGAAAATACTAAAGATTGCATGACAGATTAAATATTGAAGTGTATGCAGAATAAGTATAAAAAGGAAATTAAATTTAAAAGTCATGTTTAATGCAAAAGTTGAAAATAATAGTGAAGTGAATAATTCACGGAAAGGGAAACATATGGATTATGAGTTGAGTTTGAAATAAAATTTTAAGAAATTAATATAAGTTTCTTTTCTTATAAAGTAGAACTTCGAAAATGCTAAATAACACTTAAAATAGTATTCATTAAAACGCAACCAATTCTTATCATACATATGTATAATAATAAAATTATTTATTTGTTACAAAATTTCATTTTAAACATCTGTCAAAATCAATATAAATGCTTATTATATTTGAATTTAATCTGTTTGAAATACTAAAGCATATTAACAACTGTTTTCACAATACTAAGTATTAAAGTATACTTTTAGGGATTACAAATATTTAATAATCACAAAGTTATTGATTGTTATTGAATATATAAGCTTAATGTGTACGCTTCACTAGACAAATGTGTATGTGAACTTTATTTGTCAAAACACAAATAAGTAGTTTGTTAACTGTAATTTGTTTACATTGATAAATATATGGATATTTTCATAATATTTTTAAGTAGTTAAACGTTTTTAAGTAGTAAACGTTTATAGAATTATCTATTAACTAATTTATTGACTTGTCTATAGAATAGCAGTTGATTGTAATATTAATTAGCCAATGGACTAGTTCTAGTTCAGTTCAAGATCAGTTCTAGTTGTTTCTAGTTCAGTTCTAGTTTAGTTCTAGTTCAGTTCTAGTTCAGTTCTAGTTCAGTTCTAGTTCAGTCTAGTTCAGTTCTAGTTCAGTTCTAGTTCAGTTCTAGTTCAGTTCTAGTTCATTCTAGTTCAGTTCTAGTTCAGTTCTAGTTCAGTTCTAGTCAGTTCTAGTTCAGTTCTAGTTCAGTTCTAGTTCAGTTCTAGTTCAGTTCTAGTTCAGTTCTAGTTCAGTTCTAGTTCAGTTCTAGTTCAGTTCTAGTTCAGTTCTAGTTCAGTTCTAGTTCGTTCTAGTTCAGTTCTAGTTCAGTTCTAGTTCAGTTCTAGTTCAGTTCTAGTTCAGTTCTAGTTCAGTTCTAGTTCAGTTCTAGTTCAGTTCTAGTTCAGTTCTAGTTCAGTTCTAGTTCAGTTCTAGTTCAGTCTAGTTCATTTCGAGTTCAGTTCTAGTTCAGTTCTAGTTCAGTTCTAGTTCAGTTCTAGTTCAGTTCTAGTTCAGTTCTAATCAGTTCTATTCAGTTCTAATTCAGTTCTAGTTCAGTTCTAGTTCAGTTCTAGTTCAGTTCTAGTTCAGTTCTAGTTTAGTTAGTTCTATTCAGTTCTAGTTCAGTTCTAGTTCAGTTCAAGATCAGTTCTAGTTCAGTTCTAGTTCAGTTCTAGTTCAGTTCTAGTTTAGTTCTAGTTCAGTTCTAGTTCAGTTCTAGTTCAGTTCTAGTTCAGTTCTAGTTCAGTTCTAGTTCAGTTCTAGTTCAGTTCTAGTTCAGTTCTAGTTCAGTTTTCAGTTCAGTTCTAGTTCAGTTCTAGTTCAGTTCTAGTTCAGTTCTAGTTCAGTTCTATTCAGTTCTAGTTCAGTTCTAGTTCAGTTCCAGTTCAGTTCTAGTTCAGTTCTAGTTCAGTTCTAGTTCAGTTCTAGTTCAGTTCTAGTTCAGTTCTAGTTCAGTTCTAGTTCAGTTCTAGTTCAGTTCTAGTTCAGTTCTAGTTCAGTTCTAGTTCAGTTTCTAGTTTCGTTCTAGTTCAGTTCTAGTTCAGTTCTAATTCAGTTCTAATAATTCAGTTCTAATCAGTTCTAGTTCAGTTCTAGTTCAGTTCTAGTTCAGTTCTAGTTCAGTTCTAGTTTAGTTCTAGTTCAGTTCTAGTTCAGTTCTAGTTCAGTTCAGTCCAGTCTAGTTCAGTTCTAGTTCAGTTCTAGTTCAGTTCTAGTTGTTTCAGTTCTAGTTCAGTTCTAGTTCAGTTCTAGTTCATTTCTAGTTCAGTTCTAGTTTTCTAGTTCAGTTCTAGTTCAGTTCTAGTTCAGTTCGTTCTAGTTCAGTTCTAGTTCAGTTCTAGTTCAGTTCTAGTTCAGTTCTAGTTCAGTTTCTAGTTCAGTTCTAGTTCAGTTCTAGTTTCAGTTCTAGTTCAGTTCTAGTTCAGTTCTAGTTCAGTTCTAGTTCAGTTCTAGTTCAGTTCTAGTTCAGTTCTAGTTCAGTTCTAGTTCAGTTCTAGTTCAGTTCTAGTTCAGTTCTAGTTCAGTTCTAGTTCAGTTCTAGTTCAGTTCTAGTTCAGTTCTAGTTCAGTTCTAGTTCAGTTCTAGTTCAGTTCTAGTTCAGTTCTAGTTCAGTTCTAGTTCAGTTCTAGTTCAGTTCTAGTTCAGTTCTAGTTCAGTTCTAGTTCAGTTCTAGTTCAGTTCTAGTTCAGTTCTAGTTCAGTTCTAGTTCAGTTCTAGTTCAGTTCTAGTTCAGTTCTAGTTCAGTTCTAGTTCAGTTCTAGTTCAGTTCTAGTTCAGTTCTAGTTCAGTTCTAGTTCAGTTCTAGTTCAGTTCTAGTTCAGTTCTAGTTCAGTTCTAGTTCAGTTCTAGTTCAGTTCTAGTTCAGTTCTAGTTCAGTTCTAGTTCAGTTCTAGTTCAGTTCTAGTTCAGTTCTAGTTCAGTTCTAGTCAGTTCTAGTTCAGTTCTAGTTCAGTTCTAGTTCAGTTCTAGTTCAGTTCTAGTTCAGTTCTAGTTCAGTTCTAGTTCAGTTCTAGTTCAGTTCTAGTTCAGTTCTAGTCAGTTCTAGTTCAGTTCTAGTTCAGTTCTAGTTTAGGTCTAGTTCAGTTCTAGTTCAGTTCTAGTCAGTTCTAGTTAGTTCTAGTTCAGTTCTAGTTCAGTTCTAGTTCATTTCTAGTTCAGTTTAAATTCAGTTCTTGATCTTGATTTTCTAAGGAATAATGCCGAGATTACGTATAAATGTGTAATGGAATCGACCATATTATGTGTGCTTGTTCTTTATTTACAGCCCCCTACGCCTATTTTAAACAAATTATAGCAATAATGGTATGACAGTTTCAAATGTTTTGATTTCTCCCAGAATACTATACTGAGAGGGGGTGTATAAATAATTTGTTACTAGTAATTTAACAGTATATATTTGCTCTTTTGTAGAGCATTATTAAATAAAGTTGGAAATAATAAAATTGTGTTGATTTATAACTTACACGAAATAAATTCTATTTATAAATGTGAAATAAAAATACATACATTTGGTTATAAAAGAAAATGGTTAAAATATGTAGTGAAACGTCTGTTTTTTTTCAGGAATTACTCATTTCACTGTCACTTTTTGGTTACATTCAGACTGGTTAAATGATGTCTCCTCTATTTGCAAATTATAGAATTATATCTTTTGAACTTATTCGCTTAAATTTCCTGTAGTTTTAAGTTAATGGTCACATTAATTTTATTTTGTGGGCCCTTAATGAGGCATTTACTTTTGTAGCCTAACTGTACAAATTGTTTATACATTAGCACAGCAAATACCAAATCCACGTTAGTGTTACCTTAACATACCTCGTAGACTAAAGTAAATAATTTGCTTCCAACAATTTGCAAAATCATGATATCAAAACATTATTTTCTTCTACAAAAATTAACCTTTGCCGCAGTTGGCATAGATGTCACGGCCAAAACAAAAAAACATTTAATAAAATGTCCTTTACTATTATATGGTTTAATATTTATTGCTTGTTTTCATTCGATACTTGTGACCCATCATGTCTGTGTAAATTTAAAGAATTTCGAAGAGGTTACACATTCCTTTCCTCTCCTAAGTGAGCAGATTTTGTGCGTTGGCAAAATGTTATTATTTGTACGAAAAGGAAAGGAGTTTGTACATTTGATACAAAAAATTCATGAGTTTAATTTAAAGGGTAAGAATTGGTATTTTTTTTTTGAAATTTTAATGTAAATTTTAAAAATTTTTCTTGTATTTTTTTTTTTTTTTCAGCAAAATATGAAGAATTAGAAATTATACGATATGAAAATAAAAAGGATTATTCACAGTGTTCTTTTTACTTACGATTAGTAATATTTGGCGCAAGTTCTTCACTCATACATCCGGTTTTAAATGCCATATATATGTATTTCACACGGGACAAAGTTGTTTTAGATCCACCAAATAAGGCAACGTAAGTTTTAAGGGAGAGAGAGATTTGTATCAGCTATTATCTAATCTTTTATTTACAGTTACTTTTGGAACTACTCCCATCTATCGGGCTATACATTAGTGTATCTTTTGAATACTTTAACCATGTATTACGTATGCTTTGTATCTCTTAACATAGATATGCTTTTTTCATGGTTTGTCAGCAATATGGTGGCACAATTTCATATCATCAGATATCGTTTCGAAAGGGTGGCTTTCAAATATAGAAAAAATTTTAACAACATGGACCCGAAACATAGACTTATTGAACCCATTATAAAGTATCATTGTCAAACGTTAAAATTGACCAAAAAACTAAAACAAATCTACAGCGAAATCATTTTTATTGAATTCACCATTGTCTGTATGGAAATCTGTAGTTTGGTGTTTCGTGTAACACGTCCCAATGATTCAGCGGGAGAGGTGGCCTATAAATGTTTGTTTTTTACAGCAGTAGCTGTACAATTGTACATTTACTGTTACAATGGTCAGAGATTAGAGGATGAGGTAGGTTTGAGTCCATTCTTAAAAGAGTATTTTAATTGTTTAATCCATTTTTGCCCTAAATAAGAGTTCTCAAATAGCTTCTGTTATCTACTCTACATTTGACTGGTCGAATTTATGTTCAGATTATAAGAAGTTACTTTTACTCGCGATGCTGCGTTCACAGAAATCTGTTATTATTAAGTGTGCCTTCTTTAAGTTGGACTTATCTTTGTATTTATGGGTATTTTTATTGAAGCTGGGAATAGATTCCAAAAAAGTAATGTTTATCTTTGATTTATTTAAAGGTTTTCAAGACCACCTGGTCGTTAATAGCCGCCTTGAAGACAATGCACGAAAAGGGAAGTTAAGGAAGTTCAATTGTACTCAACAGGAAGACAGCTATGTGATATTTTGTTAACTTTAAACTAAAGTGAAATAAAATTCTGTTAAAGTTTATGGAAACCACAGACCTTTACTTATTGGGTGTATAACTTAAAAATGGGGGTTTCAAATATAAGGTGAATATTTTGAATGCACTTTTTATAACTTATATATATGCATGTCATTTAGAAGGAATTTATTGGGTGGCCATGGTCTATATTTATAACGAAGTGTAGAATTCTGGGTATACATACAGGGACCCTTACCGAATGCAACTGATACGTTTAAAGCCCCCCGGGACATGTTTCCTTTCCGAGGTATAGAGGTGCTACCAATACCTCTAGTCTACAGGGACTATGTATTCATGACCTTTCCTTGGAATAATGTAACATGGGTTCGAACCAGAGCACCAGGTAATATAGTATTACGGGTGGCCGTAGTACAACAAAACTTTGTCCCGGCTGGTTTAGTTTCCTTCTAGATCCAAGTAGTGGCTGTGGTTTATGGCGAAATTCGTAAAACTGATGTAGGTTGGTGAACAATCGGGAAAGATTCCTCTGCCCGACAGGAGGCTAGTAGTGATTAAGTAGACCTTTTACTTCAGGGAAGTTCTCTGTGTTGTTGCCATATCAACGACTTATGGTTGAGGACCACCATTCAACTTGTCGGGGTAATTATATACAAAGGGAGCCTGATTTATTGTCTAAAGGGTGCTGTTGCTGAAGCTACAGGGCCTTGAGATGCGGTTGTGCTACTGAGGGACGAGAAATCTATCTGAGCGGATTGTTGAAGGATAGGGACGCTACGACATCGCTCATGGCAACGCTTATACCTGGGGGTTCATCTCGGTGTTAAATCAAGATTATGGAGTTATCGGGTTCGTCTGTTGTGGTTTTCGTTATCCCTCTTTTCCGATTCGATCAGCACTTCTCCGTCTGTCGGTGTAGTATTGTTGCTACCTGTCATACCGCAATATGATCACTTGGCAAGATATTAGATAGCTCGAATACTTCAACAAAATTGCCATCATCGTAGTCACTCGGGGATGTGTGGTAGACCATTCTTAAGTCTATCCAGTGGATGGAAAAAAACTAACGTGAAATAAAGTCGTTAAGGCAGGTGTTCACGTTAAGCACATAGACCAAAATGGGCGGGGTAGAATTAGCAGGCGTGGCATCTCACATATTAGTCAAATACTAAAATTGGTATAACTGGGAAATTATAACAGCTAGAGTACTATCGTGTCAACTTTGATATGCGTAAAAACCTTTTGGTTAAGAAATGTTCAGTTTAGCATTAGTGGGCGTGGCAACTCCCACAATAATCAAATACTAAAATGCATATATCTGGTAAACTATAATAGCTAGAGTTCTCAAATTTTTCACACTCAACTTTGACATCAACATATGAACAGTTTGTGGGCAAAATGGGCGTAATATTGATAATGGGCGTGACAGATCTCATATAAATTTTATGTGAAAATTCATATATATCTAGGTTACTAAAACAACTAGAGTCATCAAATTTAATGCGATATATTATATAGTTGTGTGATTATAATTGTGAAATTAGGACATGGAAGTACCAAATATGATGGGCGTGGCATATTCCATATGATTTAGTTACTAAAATTCATTTATATTGGAAAATTTTAACATCTACATTTAACACATTTTATACAACTAACTTCAGTTGATATTAAAATTCAACAAAAAACGAACATGTTAACTTCAACTCTCCTTAATGGGTCGAGTTGAGGCCACCTATAGAACCGCGTTAGAAAATTAACTTTAAATCACATGTTTTAATGGTGGGCATAACATATTTGATGTCCACTAAACTAAACTTTACTTGTTAGGTCTATAATTAGCAGAACACCATTATAGGGCCCTCAATAAGGCAAATTTTAAAGTAAAATATCTCCCTATTTAAATTGTTTACTCATTGCCAAAACAAATACCAAACCCATTTTAGTATTACCCAAACATAACAAGCGAACTTATAAAGCAAATTATTTGCGCTTTATATTTTGCAAATAAAAAGTACAAAATGATTTCCACACGTTATTTTTTTGTACAAAAATTAACTTTTGCCATCGTGGGCATAGATATCATGAGTAAAACACGGAAACATCTAATAAAAAATCCTATAATTTTATATAGTTTAATAGCATTTTCCGGTTTTCATTTAATCCTTGTGATCCATTTTGCCTCTATGCATTTGACTGATTTTGAAGAATTAACAGATTCGTTTCCACTCTTGTGTCAGCTAGTATTGTGTTTATGTAAAATGATGATATTCCTGCGGAAGGCTAAGGAAATATTGCCTTTGATACAACAAATCCATAAGTTGAATATAAGGGGTAAGGGTTCGGGAGTTTATGTTATATTCTGGTTAATTATTATGAATTGTTTCTGTTTGTTTTTTTTTTCTTTAGCTAATATGAAGAATTGAAAATTGTGGAACGTGAAAATGCCAAGGATAATTTTCTCTGTTCCTTGTATTTAAGATTAGTTATAACTTCTGGAAGTTCGGCTCTTTTACATCCGATTTTAAATGCTATTTATATATATTTGACACGACAAGAAGTTGTTTTACAACCACCAAATAAGGCAACGTAAGTTTTGAAGTTTATGGTAAAGTCGTAAAGAGAAAGGAATAGTAATAGACTACTAGTTACTTGACTCATTACTGGTAGGTAGTTGGGTAAAGAGTTCTTGAAAATAGTTAGTTTTAGCTATTATTTTTCAATCGTTTTTTAAACAATTAATCTCTTTTTCTTAATATCCAGCTACTTTTGGAACATCTCACTCTTAGCGGACTACTCACTGCTATATATATTGAATATTTTTACCGTTTACTATGTATGCGTAGTATCTCTGGCGATTGATACGTTATTCTCTTGGTTTGTCAGCAATGTGGTGGCTCAATTTCATATCATAGGATATCGCTTTAAAAAGACGGCTCTCATATATAACACAGATCGAAAACAAATTATTAAATCCATTATAAAATATCATTGTCAAACCTTACAATTAGCCGAGCACCTAAATCGTGTCTATAGCGAAATGATTTTCCTAAAATTCACCATTGTTTGTATCGAAATCTGTAGTTTAGTGTTTCGTGTTAGTCGTCCCAGCGATTCAATGGGTGAAGTGGCCTATAAATGTTTATTTTTAGCGGCTGTGGCCTTACAATTGATATTGTATTGCTACAATGGTCAGCGTGTAAGGGATGAGGTAAGTTGTTAAGTTAATTATGTAAAATTTGATTTTTAATTTTTTTACTCTCTCTTTACTCTATTCCAAAAAGAGCGCCCATGTAGCGACTGTCATCTATTGTACATTTGACTGGTCAAATGTATGTGCAAGTTATAAGAATTTACTTTTTGTCGCATTGATGCGTTCTCAAAAATCGATTAATATTAAGTGTGCCTTCTTTGAGGTGGATTTAAGTTTGTATTTATGGGTATTTTATTTGAAATTTTAAATAAATTTGCAAAATATTTCATGATATTTTAATTTTTTTTATAGGTTTTTAAAACCGCCTGGTCGTTGATAGCGGCTTTGAAGACATTGGATGAAAATCAAGATTAAAGAAATGTATTGATAACATAAATGTTTTTAGTATATCGTTTGTAATTTATGAAATTATGCAAATTGTACATAAAACTTAAATTTTATTGTAAAATTTTAATTATCTTTATATCGTACAACATATTTCGAGTCCTTATATATAGCGGAGTCGATTAAGCTATGTCTGTCTATCTGTCTGTCTATCTGTCTGTCTGTCTGTCTGTCTGTCTGTCTATCTATCTGTCTATCTATCTGTCTATCTATCTGTCTATCTATCTGTCTGTCTGTCTGTCTGTCTGTCTGTCTGTCTGTCTGTCTGTCTGTCTGTCTGTCTGTCTGTCTGTCTGTCTGTCTGTCTGTCTGTCTATCTATCTGTCTATCTGTCTGTCTGTCTGTCTGTCTGTCTGTCTGTCTGTCTCTCCCCGGTGACATATTACCTTGGTGAAATCTCCACCTTGGTGTTATTGCAATATCCCGGGGAAATGAGGTGCTACCAATACCTCTAGTCTGCCGTGACTATAAACTTGTTGAAATGTATCCTCAGCCTTTTCTTGGAATGATTTGACATGGGGTCTAATCTGAGTACCATATAATCTGGCACTACGGGTGGCCAGTTGCCCGCGGGACTTGTCCTGGCTGGTCAGTTGGTTGAGGTTCTTTCGGAATCCATGTAGCTGTGGTTTATACCCACATTCGCGGGGAGAGAATGTTGGTTCAAGGACTGATATATCCAAATGCCATATATGTCTGGTTTCTCTCTCCGGTGCTGTTGCCAACTCAACAGATGTCACTGGGTGATGTGACAGAGCAACTTATGTTGGATTCCTGAACCCGTTGAGTATCTCTTACACTTCGCGAATTTTCAGATTGACACTTGGTAGTTGCCTGTTATGGTCTGAAAATGGAACTGATGTAATTGGTGAACGATTGGGAAAGACTCCTCTGCCAGACGTAGGCTAGTACCGATTTAGTAAACCATTTACTTCTGGGAAGTTCTTGGTGCTGTTGCCATCTCAACAGGATTCATATTGTTTCATGCTACGCGACTTATGGTTGAGGCCCACCACTCAACTTGTGGTAGCAATTATTGGGTTCGAATTGGGGTTTGGAAATTCCTACATCCTTTGACACATTATCTGACATACAGAGGGATCCTAATTTATTGGCTGGATATTTCGGACTACCAAATACGTCTCTAGGTACTGTTGCCGAATCATCAGAGCCATCTCAGTAATGTGGTTGCGTGGACTTTAAGAGGTAAAGGAATGTACTGGAATGGGTCATTAGTGGGGATTGCATTTTAAATAATACAATCTTGTAAGACATCATAAGGTTGGTCACCTTCCGGTATACCGGAAGATTGATTTCACCTGATGTTGGGGTTGTCGCCCCTTCTATTGACTTTAGGCCCGTGATTGCTTCATTGTCGGGGTTTGCATTGGGATTTATCATTCCGCAACGGGCCTACTATGGCAAGACATTAGATAGCTCGAGTACTCCAGCAAATTGCTTGTACATGGACCGGCTCAGCCATGTTCAGAAATTGCCACCTGAGTTCTGCATAGAAATATTCAGAGGCGCGTGGTAGACCGTCTCAAGTCTACCGAGTGGATGAAAAAGACCACCGTGAAATAAAGCCGTCCAGGCAGGTGTTCACGTAAAGCACTCGACATTTGTGTCTGTATGTCTGTCTGTCTGTCTGTCTGTCTGTCTGTCTGTCTGTCTGTCTGTCTGTCTGTCTAACTGTCTGTCCGTCAGTATGTTTGTTGAAATTAATTTTTGAAGACTCCTGATACTTTCCGTATGCAAATCTTCAACCATTTGATCAGAAATGCTTTCTTAATGTTTCTTATTTGAAATCAGCAAAATCGCTTCGCAAATAACAAAGATATGAGCAAAAATCCGAGTCAACCTCTGCAAATTTTCCTTAAAAATATAGATTTTTTGTGCATGCTTAGACAAAACCTAGGAGTATGAACTACTTTTTGTTTTGCAACTAGTACTTTTTGAATCTTTTATAATATCGAACCTATGCGAAGACAAAATTAAACACGCAGCATACCGATAGAACTAAAATTTTTAAAATGATAATTTTCTGGTACTTTTTCATCATTCAAATGGTACTTTTTTTGATTTTCTGCATTATTGAACTTATAATCATTCATATAGGATTATAAAAGTAAACTTGTTAGTACTTTTTCGCTCTTCAAAAGATACTTTACGAATTTGCTATAACATTGAATGTAAAAGCGTAGCATATAGCATATAGAACCCTTACTCAGGCTCAACCTAATGTCGACTATATTAAATAATCTGTAATTGATGTTTTGTAGTTTGGACATATTATTATCTTATGAATGTGTAACCACACATTAGTCTAATAACTAGTTTTAATATACATATGTAAGTATTGATTTGACTTCTACCTTTCTTAGGTAAGACGAGCGATGACATGCGTATATTCGGGTGGCTTTCTATACCCTACAGCAGTCGGTTCTCCTTCCACCTTAAGTATTATAATTGATTTATATAAGTTAGTATAAAGATATTTATCCGTCCGTCTGTTCGTACTTACACTATACATATCGTACATTATACGTATCGTCTGCATTACTTTAGATTACTTTAATAATGACTTCCGTATAATCTTATATGTAAGTAGAAAAACAATAAAGTCTTTTTGACATCCTATTTGTAATGACTTATTTAAGTACTTATTTGTAACTACATGTTAAAGAAGTAGTAGTGAAAAGTAGTTTTAATAGTTCTTTAAGTCATTACTTTTCAATGGTTTTTTTCCTAGAACAGTCAAACTCACTCCCAAGTGCATATGTTGCTCTAAGTTGTAGGCATGTCCAACTACAGATTTTATTTCTTATGTTTAGCTTGTCTCGTATAAATATTTACCTAATTATAAAATTTGCATTGTGATATATGTGGGAAAAATCTGTCAAAATCAATTGAATGTGTGGACATCCTTGAATTACTATTGACAAATTTTACAGCTATAAAATAGACTACAAATTCCAAGCTATAACTATAAGAAAACTTAGAACTTGCATTACAACTTCAACATCGAGAGATAAACGTTAAAGAAAAATGTTTTCTAAACAATATTTTCGTGTGCAAAAAATTGTCTTTACTGGCTTAGGCATTGATGCTACGGTCAAAGATTCGAAATATCTAATTAAACGACCAGTGCTGTTGTACGGTTTAATATTATTATCATTTTTTCATTTCATCATTGTCACCCATTATATCTGGATAAACAGTGGCGATTTTGTGGAAGTAACCGATTCTATGCCAATGTTGTGTCAATTGATTTTAAGCATTTGGAAAATGACTATATTCCTTTACAAACGTCAAGAGATATTGCAATTGATAAATGAAATTCATGCGATCAACTTAAATGGTAAGCATTAAAAGAAAAATTGGGACTATATACATATATATACTTTTTTTTCCAATAGCTAAACCTGATGAGGTGTTTTTGGTGCGTCGTGAGAATTCCAAGGATAATTTTCTTTGCAATCTGTACTTAAGATTGGTCACAATTACCGGAAGTTTTGCTGTTACACATCCGGTTATGTATGCTATTTACATGTATGGCTCTCGTGGTGTAGTGATTTTGAATGAAGCGAATAAGGCCTCGTAGGTGTTAAATTACGATTTATAATATAATCTTTAATTAAATTTTTATATTTTTTTTAGTTATTTTTGGGATTATAGCCATTTATCGGGCTATTCATTGGTGTTTATGTTAAATGGTTTTACTGTTTACTTTGTATGCGTCGTGTCTTTGGCCCTGGATTCACTCTTCTCCTGGTTCGTTAGCAACATTTCTGCTCAGTTTCATATACTTTCTCATCGTTTCGAAAACTTAGCTCTTAATTACTCTGATACTACAATAACTCAGGACCAGCAAATATTTCTCAAATCCCTTGTATCGTGTATAAAATACCATCGCCAGACTTTACAGTTGGCCGAGACCTTGAATCAAGTTTATGGTGAAATAATATTCATAAAATGTACCATCGTTTGTATAGAAATTTGCAGTTTAGTTTTTCGTGCCAGTCGTCCACATGATTCTCTAGCTGAAGCAGCCTATAAAAGTTTGTTTTTATGTGCGGTAGCTTTACAATTGATTCTATACTGCTACAATGGCCAAAGGATAAAGGATGAAGTAAGAATTTGCATCGAATATCCATAAATATGTTTTTAACCCTTTAAAAGAGTTTCCAGGTAACCGATGCGATTTATTGTGCCTTTGACTGGTCCAGTTTAACTAAATCATCTAAAGGAATGCTTTTTGTTACTATGATTCGTTCTCAAAAATCTAGTAATGTTAGGGGAGTTTTCTTTGAGGTGGATTTAAGTTTGTTTTTATGGGTAATATACAGTTCAATATTAATTGGTAAAAAGTCGGTGACTAATTTCATTTACATATACATATTATCACAGGTTTTCAAGACAGCTGGATCTTTAATAACCGCCTTAAAGACTTTGGATGAAAATCAGGATTGAGGAAGTAAATAATGCCAAAAAAAACATTCACAGTATACAATTGTTAAAATAAATAAAAGTCGTTAGAAAATTTAAAGAAAAATATTTTCGCAAAAACTATTTTGGGGGAAAAATTAAAGGAAAACACATGTCAATTTTAAGGGTCTGTGATTTATTCTAGTTCAGTTCTAGTTCAGTTCTAGTTCTAGTTCAGTTCTAGTTCAGTTCTAGTTCAGTTCTAGTTCAGTTCTAGTTCAGTTCTAGTTCAGTTCTAGTTCAGTTCTAGTTCAGTTCTAGTTCAGTTCTAGTTCAGTTCTAGTTCAGTTCTAGTTCAGTTCTAGTTCAAGTTCAGTTCTAGTTCAGTTCTAGTTCAGTTCTAGTTCAGTTCTAGTTCAGTTCTAGTTCAGTTCTAGTTCAGTTCTAGTTCAGTTCTAGTCAGTTCTAGTTCAGTTCTAGTTCAGTTCTAGTTCAGTTCTAGTTCAGTTCTAGTTCAGTTCTAGTTCAGTTCTAGTTCAGTTCTAGTTCAGTTCTAGTTCAGTTCTAGTTCAGTTCTAGTTCAGTTCTAGTTCAGTTCTAGTTCAGTTCTAGTTCAGTTCTAGTTCAGTTCTAGTTCAGTTCTAGTTCAGTTCTAGTTCAGTTCTAGTTCAGTTCTAGTTCAGTTCTAGTTCAGTTCTAGTTCAGTTCTAGTTCAGTCCTAGTTCAGTTCTAGTTCAGTTCTAGTTCAGTTCTAGTTCAGTTCTAGTTCAGTTCTAGTTCAGTTCTAGTTCAGTTCTAGTTCAGTTCTAGTTCAGTTCTAGTTCAGTTCTAGTTCAGTTCTAGTTCAGTTCTAGTTCAGTTCTAGTTCAGTTCTAGTTCAGTTCTAGTTCAGTTCTAGTTCAGTTCTATTCAGTTCTAGTTCAGTTCTAGTTCAGTTCTAGTTCAGTTCTAGTTCAGTTCTAGTTCAGTTCTAGTTCAGTTCTAGTTCAGTTCTAGTTCAGTTCTAGTTCAGTTCTAGTTCAGTTCTAGTTCAGTTCTAGTTCAGTTCTAGTTCAGTTCTAGTTCAGTTCTAGTTCAGTCCTAGTTCAGTTCTAGTTCAGTTCTAGTTCAGTTCAGTTCAGTTCTAGTTCAGTTCTAGTTCAGTTTCTAGTTCAGTTCTAGTTCAGTTCAGTTCAGTTTAGTTCAGTTCTAGTTCGTTCTAGTTCAGTTCTAGTTCAGTCTAGTTCAGTTCTAGTTCAGTTCTAGTTCAGTCGAGTTCAGTTCTAGTTCAGTTCTAGTTCAGTTCTAGTCAGTTCTAGTTCAGTTCTAGTTCAGTTCTAGTTCAGTTCTAGTTCAGTTCTAGTTCAGTTCTAGTCATGTCTAGTTCAGTTCTAGTTCAGTTAGTCAGTTCTAGTTCAGTTCTAGTTCGTTCTAGTTCAGTTTCTAGTTCGTTCTAGTTCAGTTCTAGTTCAGTTCTAGTTCAGTTCTAGTTCAGTTCTAGTTCAGGTTCTAGTTCAGTTCTAGTTCAGTTCTAGTTCAGTTCTAGTTCAGTTCTAGTTCAGTTCTAGTTCAGTTCTAGTTCAGTTCTAGTTCAGTTCTAGTTCAGTTCTAGTTCAGTTCTAGTTCAGTTCTAGTTCAGTTCTAGTTTCAGTTCTAGTTCAGTTCTAGTTCAGTTCAGTTCAGTTCTAGTTCAGTTCTAGTAGTTTCAGTTCTAGTTCAGTTCTAGTTTCAGTTCTAGTTCAGTTCTAGTTCAGTTCTAGTTCAGTTCTAGTTCAGTTCTAGTTCAGTTCTAGTTCAGTTCTAGTTCAGTTCTAGTTCAGTTCTAGTTCAGTTCTAGTTCAGTTCTAGTTCAGTTCTAGTTCAGTTCTAGTTCAGTTCTAGTTCAGTTCTAGTTCAGTTCTAGTTCAGTTCTAGTTCAGTTCTAGTTCAGTTCTAGTTCAGTTCTAGTTCAGTTCTAGTTCAGTTCTAGTTCAGTTCTAGTTCAGTTCTAGTTCAGTTCTAGTTCAGTTCTAGTTCAGTTCTAGTTCAGTTCTAGTTCAGTTCTAGTTCAGTTCTAGTTCAGTTCTAGTTCAGTTCTAGTTCAGTTCTAGTTCAGTTCTAGTTCAGTTTCTAGTTCAGTTCTAGTTCAGTTCTAGTTCAGTTCTAGTTCAGTTCTAGTTCAGTTCTAGTTCAGTTCTAGTTCAGTTCTAGTTCAGTTCTAGTTCAGTTCTAGTTCAGTTCTAGTTCAGTTCTAGTTCAGTTCTAGTTCAGTTCTAGTTCAGTTCTAGTTCAGTTCTAGTTCAGTTCTAGTTCAGTTCTAGTTCAGTTCTAGTTCAGTTCTAGTTCAGTTCTAGTTCAGTTCTAGTTCAGTTCTAGTTCAGTTCTAGTTCAGTTCTAGTTCAGTTCTAGTTCAGTTCTAGTTCAGTTCTAGTTCAGTTCTAGTTCAGTTCTAGTCAGTTCTAGTTCAGTTCTAGTTCAGTTCTAGTCAGTCTAGTCAGTTTAGTTCAGTTCTAGTTCAGTTCTTAGTTCAAGTTTCTAGTTCAGTTTCTAGTTCAGTTCTAGTTCAGTTCTAGTTTTCAGTTCTAGTTCATTCTAGTTCAGTTCTCAGTTCAGTTCTTAGTTCAGTTTAGTTCAGTTTCTAGTTCAGTTCTAGTTCAGTTCTAGTTCAGTTCTAGTTCAGTTCTAGTTCAGTTCTAGTTCAGTTCTAGTTTCAGTTCTAGTTCAGTTCTAGTTTCAGTTCTAGTTCAGTTCTAGTTCAGTTCTAAGTTCAGTTCTAGTTCCAGTTCTAGTTCAGTTCTAGTTAGTCAGTTCTAGTTCAGTTCTAGTTCAGTTCTAGTTCAGTTCTAGTTCAGTTCTAGTTCAGTTCTAGTTCAGTTCTAGTTCAGTTCTAGTTCAGTTCTAGTTCAGTTCTAGTTCAGTTCTAGTTCAGTTCTAGTTCTAGTTCAGTTCTAGTTCAGTTCTAGTTCAGTTCTAGTTCAGTTCTAGTTCAGTTCTAGTTCAGTTCTAGTTCAGTTCTAGTTCAGTTCTAGTTCAGTTCTAGTTCAGTTCTAGTTCAGTTCTAGTTCAGTTCTAGTTCAGTTCTAGTTCAGTTCTAGTTCAGTTCTAGTTCAGTTCTAGTTCAGTTCTAGTTCAGTTCTAGTTCAGTTCTAGTTCAGTTCTAGTTCAGTTCTAGTTCAGTTCTAGTTCAGTTCTAGTTCAGTTCTAGTTCAGTTCTAGTTCAGTTCTAGTTCAGTTCTAGTTCAGTTCTAGTTCAGTTCTAGTTCAGTTCTAGTTCAGTTCTAGTTCAGTTCTAGTTCAGTTCTAGTTCAGTTCTAGTTCAGTTCTAGTTCAGTTCTAGTTCAGTTCTAGTTCAGTTCTAGTTCAGTTCTAGTTCAGTTCTAGTTCAGTTCTAGTTCAGTTCTAGTTCAGTTCTAGTTCAGTTCTAGTTCAGTTCTAGTTCAGTTCTAGTTCAGTTCTAGTTCAGTTCTAGTTCAGTTCTAGTTCAGTTCTAGTTCAGTTCTAGTTCAGTTCTAGTTCAGTTCTAGTTCAGTTCTAGTTCAGTTCTAGTTCAGTTCTAGTTCAGTTCTAGTTCAGTTCTAGTTCAGTTCTAGTTCAGTTCTAGTTCAGTTCTAGTTCAGTTCTAGTTCAGTTCTAGTTCAGTTCTAGTTCAGTTCTAGTTCAGTTCTAGTTCAGTTCTAGTTCAGTTCTAGTTCAGTTCTAGTTCAGTTCTAGTTCAGTTCTAGTTCAGTTCTAGTTCAGTTCTAGTTCAGTTCTAGTTCAGTTCTAGTTCAGTTCTAGTTCAGTTCTAGTTCAGTTCTAGTTCAGTTCTAGTTCAGTTCTAGTTCAGTT